TTCTGGGCATAGTAGGGGCTGCTCTGCCCAAGCTATGACGCAGAGCAGAAAACTGTGCCACCTAGTTGCTCTGCACCTGTGTCTCTCCAGAGGCTATGTCTTCTACCCAGCATGAAAAAGAAGTTAATTTGTTTTTCATTCTAGGGATCTAGGTGCAAAACTAACCCACTGTAGCTAATTGGCCCACTCCCTTCCCTGTGAAGTGGGCAGGCACAGAAAATCCCCAACCCTGCCCAGCTCATCATCTACCCCTAAGGGGCCTTGCCATAGCTAGCATGTGGGAGGAGAGCAAATTTAGATGAAATCAACACGAGTTTCCTCCTAACAATAATAGTTCTATTCATTCAACGCTTACTGAGTGCCCAATTACCTACTTGGTGCCAGAGGAGAGACAACCCCAGCCTCCCTTGCGGTAGTTTGGCAAGAGGCTGCCTGAGAGGGTCTGTGTTCACTTGAGGGAAGAACAGCCTTATGCCAGGGGCTGAGCTCTGGAGGCTCTGCCTTTGAACAAGACTGCTTCCTCAACCAGGAAATGCCCAATATTACATACTACACCAGATCTTCTCTGCCACGCTTTTCCTATAAATCCGTCGAGCAGTACAGAGTGGGCTCCTTCCCCTGAAGCCCTTTCCAGCGTGCACTCAGCTTTGGTCGATCAAGCACACTTCTCTCTGTCGGATGGTGGCAGCCCAGGGTACCAATGCATTCTCCTGCCTCTCTTCATGGAGGCTTCCTCAGGAAACCATGCTTTGCTTCTTGCTGCGTGTCACCAGTAAAATGTGTGTCTGTGCCACTTTGGCACGACAGCATGCAGGTGTGAGGAACACACAAGGAGCTCACAGCATTGTGAAAAAGAAATCAAAGGCAATAACAGATGCAAATACACTTATAGACACATAAGGCAAGAGGGGACTCTGACAGGCCGTAATTGCACCCCCGCTCCAGGCAGCAGATTACAGTCTTAGTGAAAATGTGTACTTCTGCCTGATTATCAAAGTCCTGGAGGGCTGCGTGTAGAGGGGGACCCTTATTTTCACTCTCCAGGGGAAAAAAGAGTGTATCTGACAAAAACTTCCCCTAGGAACAAACCCCAAAGGAGGAGATGTTTGTGGAGAATGAACTAATTTTTGTGAAGAATGAACCACACGCTCTTTACTTACATTGACTCATTTAAGAAAATTAACAAAAAAATTAAGTTTTTGCTACACACACAAGGAATGTTTCAACATAAGCAAGTGGGTAGAAACATAGCTGTCAGCCCTTTGAAGTGAGATGGCAAATACTCAGGCGGGGGCCGCTGCGTTCAGGTGAGGCCTTACACACGAGTGCAGGGCTGAGGGGAAGGATGGTGGTGAAATCTAGCCTTTACTCCTCTTTCAGTCTGTGTGGGTGCAAGTACCCGAGGGCGGGATGCCATACTTTGGTTCCTCACACAGACACTGTCTACCTACAAAGCCTAGAGGAGACCACTTTTCCTAATTCACCTACCTGAAAGGACTCCTTTTTATAATAGGTATAATTTGTATGTGCTCAACTCAAAGCCCTTCAGGACTTGATAGGTCTGAGGGCAAGTGGGGTACAGGGCACCTGACTACTAAATAGTTTGTAGCATCCATCCCCCATTTGGAAATGGCAACTTCATAAAGCCCTTGGACTTCCTTCAGACTGATCTTCTCCCAGGGGTAACTAGGGAGCTTTAGAGAATAACTGGCCCTGTTCATTAAGGTTTGGGTTGTTTTGTTTTGTCTTTGAGATAATTGTAGATTCACATGCAGTTGTAAGAAATACAGAGAGATACAGTGTCTTCTTTACTAAAGGTTTAATTTTTATTTTTTAAAATGTATTTATTTATCTGTTTGTTTGTTTTGGCTGCATTGGGTCTTTGTTGCTGCACGCGGACTTTCTCTAGTTGTGGTGAGCGGGGGCTACTTTTCGTTGCAGTGCGCGGGCTTCTTATGGTGGTGGCTTATCTTGTTGAGGAGCACAGGCTCTAGGGCATGCGCGCTTCAGTAGTTGTGGCTCACGGGCTCTAGAGCACAGGCTCAGTAGTTGTGGTGCACGGGCTTAGTTGCGCCACGGCATGTGGGATCTTCCCAGACCAGGGATCGAACCCGTGTCCCTTGCATTGGCAGGTGGATTGTTAACCACTGTGCGACCAGGGGAGCACAAAGGCTTAATTTTTTAAACCAACATTTACTGAACATTTTTTCTGTGCCTCAGGAAAATAAAGATGCCTCAGATGAGACGTCATCCCCTCAGCACCTTAGATTCTTGTGATAAAGACACACACAACAGATCTCTTTGAAAAAGTTCATTGTGCACATTGCCAAGGGGCAAGTGAGCATCTTGGACGAAAAGTCCTGTGCAGTGTCTTGGGGACTGAGTAAAAGTGGGTGTTGGAAGGGCAATCTGGGCAGAGAACACAGCACGGGCAAAGGCTCAGAAGTATGAAATAGCATGGTGTGTGCTGGGAGCCATTCAAGTAATTCGGCATGGATGGGAACAAAAAATTCAAGGAAGGGAGTTTAGCGGCATCCCGGGAATGAGAAGGGAATGTTGTGTGATCTTGGCCTCCCACATTCTATGCTGGGGGAATGAAAAACAGATGGGAAATATGCTCCCAAACATGGCCCAAGCATGGCTCTTGGAGAAGCAGAAGCGAATCTTGCTTCAGTTCGAGGAGCCCACTGAACCCTCACTTCCAATCCTTGGGCTGTGGCCCACTTCCTTCCATGACCTTCACCCAAGGCCAAGGGCGGAAGTCTAGCTTACATCCTTCTCTTCTGCATAAGGCCAGCAATTGGAATGAAACAGAGTCCCCCCTCTACCAATCTGGGCTGCCACATGGGACATGGCTAAGCCCAGCTGTCCCCAGTTCCCATCTGGCATGGAGATTATCAAGAAGTACCCCCCAGGGTCCAGTGAAAGGCACAGAAGGTAGTCGATGGTGCTGCTGGCAAGCTCAGCAGAGGGTGACCAAAGTGTGGGGACTGCAGGGCAGACCACCTGAGCTGGCAATCAAATGGAAATCCCAGCCATTCTTCAAAGAGATACACAACCCCAGAGAGCTGAGATGAGGCAAATTAACTAGGAGAACTCCAGGCCCTGACGAATGGAGAAACAGCAGACCTGGAGTATTCTATCCCCAGCTGTCTGCAGAAGGTGCTAGCAGAGGGAGGAGTGACTAGGTACATAGGGAAATCATTCTTCAAAGACAGTGAAGATGCAAGGAGCAGCATGGGATCCGAGTTTTCACCTGCCCACCTCCACAGCGACACAATAAGCAAACGCTTGTTACTTCCAGGCATTCTGGAGAAGACAGGGAGGGGATACTGAGATACTTAAACATGAGTTTTCTTGTGACTCAGCAGGCTGGGCTCATAAGGAAGATTATATCATTTATAGAAAGCTGAGAAAGCCACACTTTCTTTGAATAAATGAGTATATTGTGTGTAAATGACCAACCCCTCTATTTGTGGCTTACGGACATCCCCGGCCAGGTTTTGGACGAAACAATTCTATTTTAATTTGGAATGATGAGGATTCAGTGCTGGTTGGTGATTTGTGAATCATGCCATACTCTCTACCAGGGCTAAAGTATTTCTACGGAGGAAGAGATGAGCTCCCTTTTTACCTGTCCTCGGGTCCAAAGATATGACAAGCCTTGTTACATCCCCAGAAAATGGATATAGCCGTCATATAGCCGTCATAAGAGGATTGGGGTAGCCTTTGAATCTGTGAACTAGTTTACTTCGGGACAACCTGCTTTTGTAATATTCCACCTTGTAATTGAAAGGGAGGGAGGAAGAAAGTCTGGTGTGGGAATAAGAAGACAGCAGTATCCTTTATGGGCAGGACTTAGAATTGGGTGACTTAAGAGTCCCAGGTGGCCATATTTTTAGGTATGTCTTTTAAAGTAAAACAAGGAATTTTCTTGTAAGGTTTGCTCTGTTAACAAACCCTGCACCTCAGTCTCAGTGACTTATTACAACAGTGGTTTATTTCTTCCTCATGCTATCTGGAGGCTGAGGTGGGCTGTGGCTTTCACCAGGCCCTGTAGGAAAAGCTCACTCTTCCTCTTGTGTGTCTCCCCTTTACTATCATACCACAGCCACACTCACAACACTTTTGACACCAGATGTGAGGGTCGGGGTGTTCCTGCACCACTGGTTCTACAACACCAGCTGGATGTCCCACAGTTCAACTCAATTCTGACACTGTCTTCCTGGAAATAGTGTCAGATCCTATAGGTTAAGGGCTCAGTCCCGCAAAACAACCCCTTCCCCCCACCACTTCGGATGCCAGTCAAAAGTCCGAGTTGTCGCCTGTGCTGCTGACCAATCATCCATAGATCAGGTATTCCCTCCACCCCCTCCTCGGGCTCAATTAATGTGCTAGAGCAACTCACAGAACTCAGGAAAGCAGCTCCCTTACTGTTTACCAGTTTATTCTAAAAGGATATGATAAAGGATGCATATGAACATCCAGATGGAAGAGATGCATAGGGCAAGGTATGGGAAGGGGCTCGGAGCTTCACCGCCCTCTCTGCCACTGTCCCAGCACCTCCATGTGTTCACCAACCCAGAAGCTCTCCAAACCCTGTACTTTTAGGATTTTTATGGAGGCTTCATCACATAGGTATAATCAATGATTAACTCCATTTCCAGCTCCTCTCGCTTCTCTGGAGAGTGGAGGGGAGGGTTGAAAATCCCAAGCTTCTAATCATGACTTGGTCTTTCTGGTGATCAGCCCCCCCACCAAGAGTCACCTCATTAGAGCAAAATACATTGCTATTACCCAGGAAATTCCAAGGAATTTAGGAGCTCAGTGTCAGGAACCTGGGTCAAAGACCAAATATTAGAACAAAAGATACTCCTAGTGCTTTTATCACTCAGGGAATTACAAGGGTTTTAGGAGCTCTGGGATAGGAGCTGGGAGCAGAGAAGATATATATTTTCTATTACCTTATACCCTGGGCTTGTTCTGTCTTCTGATTTCAGGACCTAGCCTCTACATAGGACATGTCTGGGAAAGAGCAAGAGAACTGGCCAAAACTCAAGATGAGTCATAGACCTTCTGCTGCAACATGGTAAATGCCATATTTACTCACATTTCATTGGCCAAAGCATGTCACATGACCAAAACCAAATCAAATGAGGTAAGGACATAAAATCCTCCCATAGGAGGCACAGTGGATCACCTGACAATGGACAGGGAGGGGTGGGTAGTGATTGGAAAGAATAATATATTCCACCATGATAATATAAATTCATTATAGATAATTTAGAAAATGTAGAGAGGAAAGAAGAAAATCAAAATTACCTGTAATCTCACTGTTAACATTCTGATATATTTCCTTCCAGGATATATGTCTGTGTGCTTGCTTGTTTTGACAAATTTAGGATTACATAATATATACCAGCTTTATAGGCTACTGGTTTATATAGAATTATAATATATAATGAACTCTTTCCCATATAAATAATCATTCTTTTAAAATGTCACTTTAATGCCTGCCCAATTTTCATATTAGTTTGGATAGACCAGATTTTGTAGCAATAAAAAAACCCTCAACTTTGTTGCCTGGCTTCGAATCACAAAAGTTTATTTCTTATTCAAGCCACATGTCCAATGCAGGTTGACATGGAGACTCTGCTCATCTTTATCTCTCTGGAACAGAGGCAGACAGAGCAGCTACCATCTCAAATGTATCTGGCTATTGTATAGGAAGGAAAGGAGAATATAGGGGAACATGCAATGGCTCTTAAAGCTTCTGCTCCCAAGGCTTTCACATTTTGTTAGCCAAAGCAAGTCTCATGGTGTGATATATTTTTTTTTAATGGCCACAATATCTTGCAGATCCTCCAATCAAGAATTGAGTCTGTTTCTCCACCCCTTGACTCTGGGCTTAGCCATGTGACTTACTTTAGCTAATAATACATTAGCAAATGTAACATGAGCAGAGGCTTAAAATATGCTTGTGCGTTAGGGCTTGATCTCTCCTAGTGCTTTTAGAACAGCCCAAGATTGACCTAGAGGGTGACAGACCATGTGGAGAGAGAGACCATGCTGTCCCAGCTATTACAGCCGTCCCAGATATGTAAGCAAGGCCATTCTCAACCATCCAGCTCCAGCCAGCCCAGACCAGAACTGTTTAGCCAATCCACAGATTTCGAGTGTTGTCTTAAGCCACTAAATTTTGGGGCAGTTTGATATGCAGCAAGAGCTGGCTTATACACACATCTACATCTAATTTCATCTGGAAGGGAGCCATGATATTTTTTTTAAAGTCTAAATGACTACCTCGATATTAAATCATAAGGATGTGCCGTCATTTATTTAACCATTTTCTTATTGTTAGAATCGCACTGCTACCCAATGTGTTACATCACATTTACTACAACTATAAACAACACTACCATGAATATCTTTGTGTATAAATATTTATCCACGTTTCTGATTAATTATAATCGATTGGTGGAAGAAGAATTACTGGGTCAAAATTTAAACCTCTTAATAATTACCAAATTATGAGACAAAAGGATTGCACCAATTTATATATCTAATGAAAGTATGTAAGTGTTCTCATTTCACTGCACCCTTACTCACCATCAAGTGTGAGCTTTTAAAAGCATCTTTACTAATCTAACAAGGGAAAAAAATCTCATTTAAATTTTAATTTCTTTGCAAATTGAGGTTGACTTTTTCTTTCAAATATTGTTAACAGTTAAAAATTCTTACATAACACTCAGAGTGTATATGATAGTATTTCCTTATTTTTCTATATTGAATTAAATCCAGCCTGAGTGCCCCACAGGACTAAATTGGCCGGAAGCTCGATACCAGATATCTTTCCCAGTTTCCTTTCCCTCTCTTAGATAAGTCCATCTGGGTTCCCACGGCCTTGAAGTAGTGTCCAGTTCTCACACTTAGACATGTCTTATTCAGGTCCATCTACCTCGAGGGCATTAGAGTCGGTGCAGGGCCCCTCCTGCTCAAATTTTTAACCACCTGTTGTTTGCCCAATATCATGTTCTGTCAGCACCACAGGAAGGCAAGATGCAGACCTCTAGTTCCCTTGATTTGGCAAAGTTATCATTTGAGAAAGCTTACATGTGGCATGTGGGGGATGGGAGGGGAAGGGAGGTGGCTGGGATGACCAGAGGTTACATGTACTGCAAAATGCTTTTCCCAGTGGAATGAGCAGATGTCTCAGAAGACAAGCAGTGTAACTATTCGGAGCGTGATATAAATGTCAAGAGTCTAAGAAATCACACATGGAATTATTGAACCATAAGTCATCATATTTCTTCTGTAACCAAGAAAAAAATCACATTTTTATTGAGTTAGAAAAGAAATACAAAATCAGACTATGAATACTGCTTCATGAACAGACTTACTACCAAGACCCTCTGTATTCACACCTCCCAGCTCCACTGTTTTTTCATACGCTGCTCTTTGAAAAAGCTGCACTTTCTACCAAATGTCAGGGGATATAGCTTCAGTCAGTCAACTGTTCTCATCACTTGGGGTGGTGGGGTGGATCCCAAACCCAGTCACATTGCTTGCCTCTAAGGAGCGTATAGTCCTGTCTTCCAACCTTCTTTTAGGTAAGGCAGCTGAGTGAAAAAGCCAAGTCCCTAGAAAACCCACTAACGGACTACCCATCAGCCTACGTGCCAGTGTTATAGGGGTCAGTATAAGGGCCAGCTGCCCTGCATCTAAGACAAATGGAGAACTTGCAAGAAAACACACGAAGGCTGCTAATGCCAAACACGTTACAAGGCAACATTTGCCTGTGCAATCTGTGTGTTATGTCTTCTATAAAGGAATGCCAGTGAAGGAAGGAAATGAAAACCATTCCCAATATGGGCAACCTCCCCTCCCCCACACATGCTAGAGCTGAGGCAGTGGATACAAAAGTTGGCAAAGGAGCAGTGAGGGGGAAGGGACCCTGAGAAGGCAGATCAGAAAGGTCAGCTCCTGTGCTTTGAATTCGTTGCTGGAAAAGAGAGGAGTTTTTAGATGGGACCCCCACAGAGCCGTTTTACTGCTCCAAGTCTGCTTGGGGTCCTTTTGATGTAGTTACTCTACAAAATCTCACATCTCCTTTAAGATTCAACTTCAGCTAAGGGCCCTGAAGAAACAAGACCTCTTTTGAAAGAACAGAAGAGTCCAGAAGCTTCTGGGTTCAACAGGCCACTGTCTAAACTGACAACCTGCTCTCTAGCCTGAGGGATGATAAAACTTCACAGACTGGGAGAGAATTCCACTCAAGAATGTCTGCTTCTGAGAGCTCACTCTGATTGCCCTCATCCCCATTAACAAAAACAGATGTGTGTTCATGAGTAAAGTAAACATTCAAGGTCAATATACGTTCCTCTCCAGCAATCTAGTTTGGCACTTCAATATGAGCAAATAGGCTATGAAGCTGAGTGGAACTTTTCTATAACATCGGTGTCGAGTGACAGGACGCACATCTGTGTATTAGGTTAACTGTTACATTAAATATCTACAGAATAGACTTTTTCTGTTTCGTGGGAAATGGTCTGAGCTACGGTAAATCTACTGACATGGAATAGTTATTCTCTATGAGAGAAACAAGAGAGTATGATATTTACGAGCCTGAGTCTGAATGCTGGTTCTAGTACTTACTATCTGTGTAACCTTGGGCAAGTCATTTAACTTCGGTTACTGTCTCTAAATGGAGGTTTCAATAGTATGTATTTCCTGCCTTGTCAGCACTAAGCATGTAAAAATGTGAGCTTATTCTAGGATTACTCCAGGACACTGGAGGGAAGTAGTATGCAAGAAGTCTCCATACCTAACCTTGTCTTCATTCATCCTTTCATCAAATATTTATTGAGTACCTACAATGTGCCAGCTAAAGATGCAGCAGTAATGATGAAAGACACACCTGAAAGTAATCGTGGAGTTTATGGTCTCCTGATTCATCTGCCACCCTCCCGAGACGTGACCCTCCAGTATCACTCAGCACCCTGAGTGTGATGTTTCTCAGAGTTACTTGAACCTAAGAATCACCTGGCACTCTTGTGAAAAAAACAGATTCTAAGATCTCACCTCATCCTACCGAATATCGCAGGGAGACTCTGACTTCCTTTCCTCATTGGCAAAATAAGGAGCAGACACACCCTACCGCCGTCTCATTATGTGTTCCCGGAGAAACAGCATATGGGAAATGTCTTCAGAAACCATGAAGTCACTTTCCAGCATGTGGCATCTAGGTTCTCTCTGGAGGATCAGAGAAGCCAGCCAAAGGCCACTCAGTGCCTATAGTCTGTCCTGGTGTCCTCCCACCCCACCTCCTCCTTCTGGACTCTTTGGAGACATGAATCAGAAGCCACCTATCCCCGTTTTAACCTAATGAGTTAATGGGTCTCATACAGGAACAAGCCTCAAGTCCACCACCAAGGTGAACACTTGCATTGTATTCTGGGAATGCCTATTACAAGGCTTCGGAGGTCCAGTCAATGGCCATAACTGGTGGTTTTCAAGGGACATCCTTGCCTTCCCTGGGCACCTGCTAAAATGGGAGATGAACCCAAAGATTAGAGGGGTGAATTGTAGGGTCTTGGTAAGTTCTCATCACCCAGCCCCTGCCCACCTCTCCAGCTCCATCTCCCACTCCTCTTCCATACATACATCCACTAGCCCTTGACTGCCTCTCCCCTTCTTTCAGTAATCAAACACTCCAGTTTCAACGGGTCACAAAACCACCCAGAATAATGATGATATTTCCTAGCCCTCTTGCTATTATGATCAATGGGTTGTAAGCAGAAATGTCATATGGCCACACCCAGGAACAGTCCACAATAAACAACTGGCATGTGTTTTATCCCTGTTCTATCCTACACCTTCCTCCATCCTGCTGCTTGGAAAGCAGAGGTAGCAACTGAAGCTCTAGCATCTGTTTTAGATGTTGGGAATGAGACAACATGTTAGGAGTTCTGGGACCCTGAGCACTGTACGGCACAGAGCCTCTGCTTCAGTCCTGAACTACCAACCTCTGTGCTTTTACATAAAAGGGAAGTACACCTCTATTTAATTTAAATCAGTGTTATTTTGAGTTTCTATTACATACTCCAAAGTGAGTCTTTACTGATACGGTGCTCAGGAGGATGGATTCTGGAAATACACTGCCTAAGTTCAATCACTTATTAGCTGATAGCCACAGGTATATTGCTTCACTTTTTGGCCTCAACTATAAAAGGTAGATGCTAAAGACAGCATCTACCTTCTTGGATTGTTGTTAGGAATGAGCTAATAATATATGTGAAGCTTAAAACATGTAAGGCCTGACACAGGGTAAACACCCAGAATAAAAGTGTGCCCTAAGGGAGTAAGATTGAAGGTTGTTCTCTCAAATCAGAGGTAGGCTTTTTTAGTGCAGCAGCAATACCAATAGTGTTAATAATAATATATTTTAAAATTTTATGGATTACTTTGCAGGAATCTTTTCAACAGTTATGTATGAACTGTGCATTATGTATGTATGAGTTATGTATAATTACTTTCATTCCACAGAGAGGAGAATGCAAGGTTAGAGAGGTTAGGTTAACATGCCCCAAATCACATAGTTAGTAAGGGTCTGTGATAGGATTCACATGCAGGTTTTTCACTTCCAAATTCCATACATTTTCTGAAAACCTTCACTTGCTCCTAAATGCAAGTTGTTGTACTGCTATGCATTCTCTTTTTTAGATGCCTGATGCACATACATTTTTTGCAAAGAGATTCCCAGGCTAGATTTTTCTGTTTGCAAAGAATCAAAAAGGGTGCCCAAATTCCCCATGTAAGAAATTTTGTTTTCTGGTCGCCGACAGCTCAAATGTGAATAGGCCGTGTATTTGATCCCATAAAATGTTAGCCCTAGACTATACTTTGAAAAAAGGGGTCCGATCAGGGCTCGCCTCAGGAATGGGGGTGGAAGAAAAGCCTTGATCCATCCCCATCCTGGTTGCAGTCTGGACAAAAAGCCCTGATTCTGAGTGATGTTTCAGGCTCACCCTAAAAGGGGCCCAGAGTTGAGCGTCTGGGATGGGAGTGAGGCTTTATGACAGTGCATGTGTTTTGAATTGACAATTCTTTTAACAGAAGCAACTTGGAACCAGGACTGGGGGAGCTGCTGCTCACTGGAATGTTGTAGCCATTTTCCATGTTCCCTGAGAGCAGGGCAGGTGGCTCCCATTGCATCTGGGGGTGGGGTTAAGTTAGATGCTAGGAAAAGCTTCCTTGCTATAATGACTGTGAAAGGCAGGCACAAATGTGGTTGTGGAATATAGTTATCTGTGCAAATTTGAAGCAAGTATAGGAAAAAATCTTTCACACGTAGAGGATATGGATTGAATGTCGTTGTAGCAGAAAACAGGAATTGAGAACAGAAAGTAATGGTATAGGGCTTCCCTGGTGGCTCAGTGGTTAAGAATCCACCTGCCAATGCAGGTGACATGGGTTCGAGCCCTGGTCCAGGAAGATCCCACATGCCGCGGAGCAACTAAGCCCATGCGCCACAACTACTGAGCCTGCGCTCTAGAACCCACGTGCCGCAGCTACTGAGCCCGCGTGCCACAACTACTGAAGCCCGTGTGCCTAGAGCCCGTGCTCTGCAACAAGAGAAGCCACCACAATGAGAAGACTGCACGCCGCAACGAAAGAGTAGCCCCCGCTCGCCGCAACTAGAGAAAGCCCGTGCACAGCAACGAAGAGCCAACGCAGCCAAAAATAAATAAATAAATTTATATTAAAAAAAGAATGGGATGGTCAAAAATAAGATGCTCCACGCAGTGTGTAGAATCAGGGAGGGGTGTGGCTTTTGCTTGTGCACCTTGCCTGGAACCTAAGGGCTTGGGGTCCAGCACAAGGGAATGGGAGGAAGCTCAGGCAGCGGCCAGGCTGGCACACCTCCCTGCAGGGCCTGGGCATTCTGGTCCCCTGGTGCACACAACCAAAGGATGAAATCAGGTGAAAGCTGAGGACTCTCCAAGCTCCGAGTTCCTCTGAGCCGGAATGTAGAGAATTTCTATCGATGGAAAGTGATTTCTCTATCCTCTGTTAGTTTCTGTGGGCTACACTCCTGAATCTTATTTACACTTTCTCTTGAGGAAAAAATTGTGTAAGCCTATGGAAAGTTTCTTTCCTAAGCGGCGGGTTCTGTGTAGGGGCAGCGTGGGCACGAGGGTGTAGTTAACAATGAGGGAAGTTGTAGGGAAACGTGACAATATCAACTTAGAAACTCCAATCCCTTGTGTTTGACCTGGACAGGGAGGCCTGCCTGCTTTGTCCTACTTCACAGGAAAATGACAAAGAGGGGATAAGTGAGAAAAAGTTAAAAGTTATGTACAACCCTTTTGCCTCCAAGCCTCTTACAGCCTGCCACATCGTTAAAAAGGCTTACTGTGTAAGTCTTACACCCAAAGTTTAGAGAAAAAGAAATATTAATTGAAAAAAACTTGTTATATCCTAATGAAGTTTGTTCTTTTCTTCACCTGTACAATTTTTTTTAACTTATGTAAAATGAGAGAATTGGTGAAGGAAAGAAGAATTACTTTTTCAACTCACAGACTCTACATTTACTCCAATAAGAAATTCCACTGTCAAATGTAGTTGCCCCAAAGTGAACACAACCAACCACAAGCAGTTGAAAAGAGTTGGTTTATATGCTTTTCTATGTATAAAGGTAAAGGGCAAACGTACAGTGTTAGCTATCCTAATTCGTTCCCAATTTTTTCTCCAAAGGAAAGAGAGGGAGAGAGACCCAAAAGGGAGAAGAGTTGGCTCTCAGTAGCTTTCCATTCGGCTGGAAAAGGAACAGCTCTGGTTGCTACAACTATGGTTGCTCCTTCTTGCTATTTATGGATGGGGTGGCTGTTACTGCAGTCCACTAGTGCCCCCTATTGTCCCCTTCAGGAAACTCACAGGGCAGCATGAACGGCTAAACCTGGGTAAGTCATCTTAACACCCTCGAAACTTTTCTGACAAAGAAATCTCAAAATTTTGAAACTATGCTTCCACATTTAATTCACTGAAAGACAGTTTATAGTCAAGTTACATTATTATTTCTGAGACTTAGAGAATGTTAGGAAGGATCTTTAGAAAGTATGTAGCCAATTGTTTTTTAACCTAAGTGTGGGTATTAGCTCTGAGAGATATTAGCAGTTATTATGTGAAACCAAAATGGGTTAGGAGACACTGGGTTAAATAAACATTAATTAAATATTAGATAAGCAGGATCTTTCCTGCTGGTCTTCTCAGATCCTTTAATATGGATTGTGTGCCTCCCAAGGGGAAATGCAATTCCCGATAACATTTGACAAGAACCACGTTGTATATGAATTTCTTGTAGGGCTAATATTTCAGGGAACACTTTGCGAAAGTGCTAATTGAGTCCAAATGAATCATTCTACAGATTTGGAAATAGTCCCAGGGAGGTGCCAGTGGCTTGGTGGTAGTTAGTAGGGCCGCCGTGAGGATCTGTCAGGAGGCTCCCAGCTCCCAGAGCTGCTTCTTCACCAGAGAGCCTACCTCCTCCCCAGAGTCAATTCTTAGTATTCCTATTTCCACAAAGCATGTTTACCTGTGGAATGGGAAATGGCATTGCCTTCAGCCAAGGATATTGGGAAAGTGAAGTAGACCCCTTTCAAGTATGCTCCAACTCTTTGGGGAGGAGAATTTGCTTCTGGTATTTTCGATTCAATTTTGCTGTCTCTTGTGAAGAACCTCATTTTTTTATAAAAAATGTATATTCAGCAAATACGATGCACACGGTTTTCTGGTACTTGGAAGATTCAACATGATATAGCACATTGGGTAAGAGCAAAGGTTTGGAGGTCAGGTTCTGGTTCTGCCACATTCTGGCTGTGTACATTTGGACAAGTTACTTATCATCTTTAAACTCAAGATATGGAAACAACTTAAGTGTCCATTGACAGATAAGCAGATTAAAAAATTGTGGTGTGTATGTATGTGTATGTATATATATATATATATATATACATATATATATATATATATAAAGAAATTTTATTCAGCTTTAAAAAAAAAGAAGGAGATCTTGCCATGTGAAACAACATAGATGAGCCTGGAAGACATTATGCTAACTGAAATAAGCCAGGCACAGAAATAAAACTGCATGATCTCACTTAATATGTGGAATCTAAGAAAGTTGAATGTATAGAAGTAAAGAATAGAATGATGGTTACCAGGGGTGGGAAGGTGGGGGAAATGGGGTGATGTTGGTCAAAGGATACAAAGTTGCACTTATGGAGGATGAATAAGTCTGGAGATCTAATGTACAGCATGATGTGGTTAAGAATACCATAGTGATTACTGGAAATCTGCTAAGAGTAATTTCAGTGCTCTCACCAAAACAGTAACTAAAAAAGTTAACTATGGGAGAAGATATGTTAATTCGCTTAATTGCAGTGTATGATTACTGCATACACTACGTATATGTGTATCAAATCATCTTGTCGTGGGACTTCCCCTAGCAACCAGTGGTCAAGACTCTGCACTTCTACTGCAGGGGGCACGGGTTCGATCCCTGGTCAGGGAACTAAGATCCCACATGCCTCGTGGTGCGGCCAAAACAAAAAAAATCATCATGTCGTACACCTAAAATATATACAATTTTTATTTTAAAAACTCAATTTGTAAAATAAATAAAAGACTCAGAATCCCTATCTATAAAACCTGACTGGGCTTCCCTGGTGGCGCAGTGGTTGAGAGTCCGCCTGCCGATGCAGGGGACACGGGTTCGTGCCCCGGTCCGGGAAGGTCCCACATGCCGCGGAGCGGCTGGGCCCGTGAGCCATGGCCACTGAGCCTGCGCATCCGGAGCCTGTGCTCCGCAACGCGAGAGACCACAACAGTGAGGGGCCCGCGTACCGCAAAAAAAAAAAAAACCTGACTAATCCCTTCTCCACAGGATTGTGTTGAGGACTAAATTAGAAAACACAGTTGCCCCTTGGTATCCACGTGGGATTGGTTCCACCACCCACCCATCCCCAACAGATACCAAAATCTGCAGATGCTCAAGTACCTTATATAAAATAAATACTCCATACCCAGGGTTCCACATCTGTGCAGATTTCAGCCAACCAGATTGAAATCTGTGGTTGGTTGAATCTGCGAATGTGGAACCCGGATACAGAGGGCCAACTGTACATGTAAAATGGTTAGTACAGTGCCAGCACATGTGTTTAATAAATATTTGCTGCTGCTGCTATTATTATTGTTTTCCTTATTATGATTATTGATATTATTATGATGCTATTATTGTTACTTCTATTGTCCCTGCCCTCAAGGACTTAATAGCCGAGTTGGTGATAGAAGACAAGCACACTCAGAAACTTCAAATAACAATATAAGGGAATGGAACAGAGATAGCAACTAGGTCTCACGTCACTTGCCGTGAGCCTTCAGTGGCTGCCTCAAGTGCTATGTGGAGAAGAATTCTGAAGTTCTTGCCAGCCTTGGAGAGAAAGAGCACCAATATCAATTAGTGATGTTTTTCATGGGAATGAGGAGTATGAATGAAGTTATACCACACATACTTAACATTCTTAAAATGAATGATGAAATTCCAGATGTGACAGATTAGATAGAACAGTCATTTCTGGAGAAGATAAGATAGCTGGACCTTGGAGGATGAGTTTGATGTGAATAGAAGGAGATGAAGTAAGGGAGGGAGAGGTATCTGGCACCAGGGATTTTGTGGGCAAGTGTGCCAAATATAAAATCCATATGGCCTATTTGTGTGGCAATGAGTAGACCAGTCTGTCTAAAGAAGGGTTTGATGCTAAAGATTAGCTCTACAAATACGGTAACCAGAGATGCGGAGCTGGTGACGCAACATCCAATAAGTTCTCCCACTGTTCCCACAAATTCCCTCTTATGCATTGGGCCATGTGCCTGGATTTGAAGTTCAGAAAATGTGGATACCAGTAAGTCTCTAGCACCATCTTGTCTATCATGGAGCTGTTCAAAGGCTCTTTTCCGGGACCTCCCTGGTGGCGCAGTGGTTAAGAATCCACCTGCCAATGCAGGGGACACGGGTTTGATCCCTGGTCTGGGAAGATCCCACATGCCGCAGAGCAACTAAGCCCGTGTGCCACAACTACTGAGCCTGTGCTCTAGAGCCTGTGAGCCACAACTACTGAGCCTGCAATCCACAACTACTAAAGCCCGCACGCCTAGAGTCTGTGCTCCACGACAAGAGAAGCCACTGCAATGAGAAGCCCAGGTACTGCAAGGAAGAGTAGCCCCCGCTTGCCACAACTAGAGAAAGCTGCGCACAGCAACGAAGACCCCTCGCAGCCAAAAAAAAAGCTCTTTTCCATCATCCTTGCTCATGAAGACCATATCCTTTCATGTTTTCATATTTAGTCCCCAACTGCTGTTCAGAGCCCATTACTCTACGTGCACTTTAAAAAGTCCTTACAAATGTCTTCCATCACGTACAGATGGCATTGCAGCCCCAAGCATCTGATTCTCGGCAAATGCACACACAGATAAAAAGTCACTGAAAATGAAAAATGAAGAATCAACCTACCAGAAATTGCAGCTTGCATGTATACCATGTGCCTTCCCTCTATTCAGAACTGTGCTAGCTCTGGGAGGGATATCAAAGATGGGTCTATTAAAACCACAAATAAGGATGGGAAGTTTTGAAATACCCCATTTGCAAAACTTCATAACGTGACATAATGAGATTTTATTCATCCATTCTTTTTTATGGAGTATCTACCAAGAAGCAGGCACTTCTGTATTAGTTGAGACTTGTATGGTTACAAGTGACAGAGACCTAACTCAAGCTCATTTAAGCAAAAGAAGGGACTATAGTAAGGGATAATGTGACATCTGTGAAACCAAAAGACAGGAATGTGCCTGGGGCACAGGAACCACTGAAACAGAACTCCAAGACCATCAGGTTTCTCTTTTATTCTTCTTGTCTCTGTGCCTTCATTCACTCGCTTCCTTAGTTTCATTCTTCCTTCTAGCTAGCCATCACCTTTCTCCACGTGGTGAAAAACAGGGGGGCCAACAGCTCTCAGTATATCTACATAGCTTTGGGCACTAGAAAGAAATTATCTTAACATTCTCTCTGGTTCCAAGTTGAAAAATCCCCGGGAAGGACTCATTCAAGTAGTTCAAGTCAGATAACTCCAAAGAGTCATGAAACAACATGGCAGCTCCTGTGGGAACCGTAAAGATGGGGCGAAGAAAGAGGAAACTTATGGAAGAGAGGGGGTGAAGTGCTGGGCCAACAACACAAGAGGTGCCTGTTCCACCTTCCCTTATTTGTTTTTTCATGCCAGTTCAGCTACGCTATCAACAAACAATTCCATTCATTTAATAAGCACTTATTCATTTACTGAGTGTCTGCTATGTGCCAGGTACTATGCTGGATTCTAAGGATGAAACGATGACCACGATGCCTCTTAGAGTGCTAGGCATTCAGAGATACAAAGAAATATAAACTAGACTTGGTTTAGGACCTCTGGAAACTTACCACACAACTGAAGGCAGAAGACTGTATTTGGAGAATCATCAAGGGGCAAGCTGCGTGCTATGGATAATGAAGGTAAAGGAAAGTGAGTGGGGTCAGTGAGGCCTGGAACCTTCCAGGGAAGCATCTTGGAGAGGGTGGTACTTCTGCAGGGTCTTTAAAGGGTGAGGAAGTTTTCGTTTATGAATACATGTGTTTTTTGGGGTTTTTTTAAAGAGTATATGATTTCATTTATAAATTTATTTATTTATTTATTTTTGGCTGTGCTGGGTCTTCGTTGTTGCGCACGGGCTTTCTCTAGTAGCGGCAAGCGGGGGCTACTCTTCATTGCAGTGCGTGGGCTTCTCATTGCAGTGGCTTCTCTTGTTGCGGAGCATGGGCTCTAGGCACGCGGGCTTCAGTAGTTGTGGCCCGTGGGCTCAGTAGTTGTGGCTC